GTTATAGGTAGTATTCAACCTCGACTACTTATGCTGCAGATACGAGCTCTTAATCAATTTCCTAGACCAAGATATAAACATCACAAATTTGACTTTTATACAAGTATCGTATTAGGTTATTTTTAGACTAACTTTTTAGCGAAGTAAGTCCGAATGAAAAAGTTTGGGAACCTTCCTATATATGTTGCCTCTACCTACGGTAAAATCCTGAGCACAAAACTCAAACATCGATTGGGCAATTCGTACGCAGAAAGGCTGTCCCACTCGTACAATGACTCTTAATACTAAAATTTTATATAACTAACTTAACCCTTTATCCCGGACAGTTAATCATGCAAAGCGAACTTGAAACTGGTATACCTTTGACCAGGCTTGATAAAATACTTTTTTATTATTAACCACTAGCTCATGGGTACGAATGAGGCTTAAGACGGAAGATAGTAGCGAGATCAATAAAAGTCAGAGATTAAATTTGAAAAAATATTCACTTTGTAATCCAGCAGTCACAGATAATACCGAACACTCGGACAGTCCTATAGTGGGTGAAACGTGCTACTTGCTGGTGTGGAAAACGAGATTTACGGTCAGAGAATATGAATATACCATCATCGTTCAGCACACTACTGACCTTTATTCGATACACAAGTCTTTTTTGCATCATTCCAAACATAATCGATCAGGCATGATTCAAATGAAGCAGAAGTGCCATTATCCAGACATCGAAGATATCCTTTATCAGTATGACGTAATGGAAATTTTTCTCCATCAATTGCCGTTGCACATGGAGCTTCGAATATTGTTTCCATACAACTTAAGCCGTACCAGAATTGTTCCACAGTTCTACTCGATGACTTTGGAGGTCGGCAAAAGCATATGTACTTTAGCGCATCTTTATCAGGATCAAAGAGTTGACAGCCCTAGAAATCATTTTTTATATATAGATTTATGAGTTAAATCATGTTGAGAAATTTTTCTTACTGCAAATACTTTGGATATTTCCCATTCGGAGTGTCCTCTTCCACAATCCCGCAGATCTTCACAATAAGAATGCTTATGTTCACAATGACGAGTATAAAGTCCATTGTGGCACACACAATAATATGTTGAGGCAGCAAAAATATTGACACAATTTCCACCATTGCACGGTGATGATGAGCACGGACTATTTACAGAAGCCACTAGAATGATACGATAGAAAGCGTTGTTAGAAGTTTTCATTCAACCTCTCCTATTTTATTTTTCCTACCGTTGGTAATGCTATCATTACATTCCTTCTTGATTGGGTCATAGTAGGCACCGTCAGCACATTTTTGTTCAATACCGAATCCGCCACCGATACAGAAAACAAAACCAGTCAGATTCGGTAAGGGAACAAGATGCATGGGAACCAATGGTAATATTGAACATAATGAATCTAGCTCCAACGAAAGAAAATCAAATAACAAATACGTAAATAATTTGAAAAGAGAAAGATCCTCATGTTCTGAAGTCCTCCGAAACTTTGCCAAGATGAATTAGTGGAATGACCCTTTCCAGCCTGATGTTGCCATTTGACAGCAATTTTTAGTGTGTTTTGGAAACACACTAAAATGCTCTCTGTAGTGATGATACAATTGGTCGACGACAGAGATCGGGTTCGTATCGATCATGTTATTAGATTGTAAGCCTTTGAAGTGGGGTGCTGACGACGGGAAGTGCCTCGCTGTATACACCAAAAATAAGAACTATCAGCAGTCGAACAGATTTTCAGAAAACCTTCCCGCTATTGCACGCGATGTTCTTTGATCCAAAAATTTACGAAGTGTCGCTGCACGATATATTGATTATACCGTTCAATCGTGTGACGACGATAATATCGATTCCGCAGATTATGTAAAACGGCTGTTTCATCCCGAATCCATTTTGGCAATGATCGACGATACTTCGAAACCTCGATAAAACGTGTTAAAAGACAAACCAGAGAACCAAGGAAACAGCACAATAACGATAAATAAGTTGCTGCCGAAATTCGATAACTCAAGTGCGATACGGTTGCAAAAACTGCAAAAATAAATTATACACCCTCCAACGTACATCTCTAAAAATTGAACTTGAAACGGTAGACCAAGGGCCAATATACAAAACTGGCCAGTGATCACTACAGCCAAACCGGATTATCGAAACATCGGCAGGATTTTCTGTGCAACAGACGAGATCAACACAATTCATTGAACATTTGGATGTCGGTTCACTGGTTATTCCAATATTAAAATTAAATTCATTACAAAAATTTTCAAATATTCTACATCGGCTGTCGGTTGTACTGCAGCCCCAAGATGTAGAATAGACGCTGAGATCCCCAATTAGTAGTGTTTGTATTGGTAGTGACGATGTTTCGTAGGCTTTTGATTGGAAGCGGTGACGATCGTGGGCTGTATGCACCAATCACATTTAAGCGACAACATCGTAATGAGACTTCAACATCTAAAATATTAGGTTCTGTATGGACTGATTTTGATGGTACAGACGTGTGTACTAATATTAAAACACCTCCATGCGCATTTGTACCAGCTGTAAAATATCGACGGTATGGGGGAAAATAAGATGGTAATAATTTCAATGGGGTATTACCAGTTTCAACATAAACCAGAACGGTGGGATGTTTTAGATCCAATAAGTATTGTACTTCAGCTAATTTTGATGATAGACCCTGGACGTTGTACATGATAGCGACAAATGATTTTTTTGTCTGAGACGGTGGTGGCTAATACGAAACTTTCCAGTCGTTAATGAGAGACGATATCGTTTGTTTACCATTCCATTCATTTACGATCGTGTTGAATAATACCTAATCGGTTGAGCACAAGTTAACATAAGTCGGTAGGGTACGATCAACATTTATAAACGGATCAAAATGTACGAATGGTTGTGCTGTATGACTTAAGTCCATTCAGGTGTGGTATGTCCGATAACATTTCTTGCCCTCGCTTCAAAAGAAAATTGTGATCATGTGGAGCATGGTTGTGACGATGGTATCAGCGCATTTCTAATAGATGGCAGTGGATTTGTGGTGGAAAAAACACTATTTCAAACTAAATCAGCCATGTCAGAAATACAAGTTCGTGTTTTGTTAACTGTATCATGTAGTGTTGTTGGTGTATCCTGCAAAGCTAGGTTTGACTCTGTTCTATGACCCGAACTCGCTTGAAACAATGCTGATGATGTTGTCCACATCGCTGGTAAGGTACAGGTAATTCAAACTTTCAGTCAAAATTTTTGTCGGCTTTTCTTTACATCATTTGACCACTAGGTATACGTCGATTTTGTAAACCTATCTAGTCTTTCCACGTAAACGATGAAGCCAAATATTTTGTCTCGTTCGACTCGTCATACCACCCCCCCACCACGCTACGAATCGGTGTATTTTCTTTTCTTTCCTATGTTGAGAAAAATCGTTTTTACTAGGACGGTAGGATAAAGGGGAGGTCATTTTTGAATAAAATGAGTATTTTTTATCCGAACT